AGTGTCCAGTCAAGCAGGAAGTCAATGGGCATGGTAAAAGGGTGTGCCACTGACACAAATCACGTAACCTGCCAAAAGGGGCAAACATGCCCAAAAAGAGGACATGTCTGCTCAAAGAATTAGAAGGCCAGCCTGGTATGAATGCATGTCAGGCTGCCTGCCAATCATGCAGCTGGCCAACTAAGGGCATACTATGCAGACAGCACCCTGAGTTTGGCATAAATGCATCTAATGATGCGCTCACTCAACGCTTTCTAAGGACTGTCCCCTAGCACTCGCTGGTCCACTTGTCTCCTTACCTTCTTACTAGCAGGCAGAAGCTCCTGGTATATAGTCTGGGACAGATAAAAGCTGTATGTAGTGAGTGTAGAAGAAAGGGAACATGCCACAGTGTTAGAGAGACCAAAGTCAGCATTACCTTAAAGGATCACTATAGGGTCAGGAACACAAACATGAATTCATGACCCTATAGTGTTAACACCACCATCTAGCCCCCTGATGCCTCCATAAATATAGCAAAATCTTGCTGTATTCAAGCCTGAAGCTGTAACTCTGAATGCTGTTAGACTCAGAAAAACAAGCAGTCTGCTGACATCATTAGAAGTGGTGGCCTAATCCAATCACAGTGCTTCCCCATAGGATTGGCTGAGACTGACAAAGAGGCAGATCAGGGGCAGAGCCAGCATGATTCAAACACAGCCATGGCCAATCAGCATCTCCTCATAGAGATGTATTGAATCAATGAATCTCTATGAGGAAAGTTCAGTGTCTGCATGCAGAGGGAGGAGACACTGAATGTTTGGATGCATTTTAGGCTGCCATGACCCAGGAAGGATCTGTAACAGCCATCTAAGGAGTGGCCAGTGTAGTTATCACTAGGCTGTAATGTAAAGACTGCATTTTCTCTGAAAAGACAGTGTTTACAGCAAAAAGCCTGACGGTAATGATTCTACTCAGCAGAACAAATTCAATAAGCTGTAGTTGTTCTGGTGACTCTAGTGTCCCTTTAACTATATTCATTGTCAGCCAGTCCACACAAGTTTTGTTCCCATACATCCCTCTTAAGTTTCCATACTTAAGTAAAAGTATGTGAAAAGTAGTTAGGGTTGCCACCTTTCTTGGAAAAACATACCGGCCTTGCTAATTTGCATAATTAAATATGTATGGGTGACATGATGTAAATCACAAGGAGTGACATAAGAGAAAATGCTGTAAAATCACCAAAAAACTACTTAGTTTGATTCTGCTGTATAGATGGATTCCTCCCAGTGGCCCCATGTCTCCCAGTGCCCCCATGTGTCAATTACTCCAGGTCTCAGTGTTCCTATTTATCAGTGTCTCAGTGCCCCATGTCTCCCAGTGTCCCCTAGTGTTGTGTCCCCAGGTCTCCCAGTGATCCTATGTATCACAGTGTCTCAATGCCCCATGTCTCCCTGTGTCCCCATGTATCCCAGGGTCCCCATGTCACTAGGAAGACGGGAAGACCTGGGGACATGGGGAGACCTAGGGACACGGAGACACCAGTGACACTGGGAGACTAGGGGACTCTGGCTGGGACGCATGGGGACACTGGGAAAATAGGGGACACTTGAAGACATGGGGACACAGACACTAGAGACACTGCCTCGGGGACTTGGGGACATTGAGACATGGGGGCACTGGGAGACATGGGGACAAGGACACCAGGGACACTAGCTTGGGGACATTGAGACACTGGGAGACATGGAGGCACTAAGAGACATGGGGACAGTGAGACACTGGGAGACTAGGGGGCACTGAGACACCAGGGACACTGGCTGGGAGACATGGGGACACTGGGAGACATGGGGACACTGTGTCCCCATGTGTCTGTGTCATAATGTCTCCCAATGTCCCTTAGTGTCTCAGGCTGTCTCTGCAGGGTGGGAGTTGCTGTCTGGACTCTCTGTAGCTGCACCCCTGCATATCAGTGAGTATAGATAGGCAGGGAGGGATATGCTGGAACTTCCTATCCCTGCCTGTCTCCACACACAGTGACCCCTACTGGCCAGTGCTGGTATTGCATAGTAATTGCATTTGTATTGCCAGTATCACCGTAATATTGGCACCAGCCAGGCAGCCTCAGATACTGGCTGTGCCAATAAAATAAAAGCCAGGTGGAATCCCTAAGAGTAGTGTGTGTAGTAGTGTTTTTTAATAAATCAATGGGCCTATTCCATGGGCCTGGGCCTGGGCCTGGGCCTGGGCCTGGAGCTGCAGCTCCATCAGCCCCTATGTTAATCCGGCCCTGAGTGTTGGGGCAAGGGTCCATCTGACCACTGATACCTGGTCTGCAAAGCAGTGGGTACTTTATAAATGGCTCCACCTGCCACCCGTACAGCAACACAGTCTCCAGTTAGGAGGACTGACCAAGCATCTTCTTCCATCTCCCTGTTACAGAAATCACTGCCATATACACGTCCACTGATAGGAGACGCGGAAGGTATTAAACTGATCAGAACAGTAATAAACACACCACTCCTATCTGGTGGCAGAAATGTTACCGAATTACAACAAGTATGAAAGGATGCAGCATTTGCAAAATAAATTAAAAAGTATGCTTTACAGGGAGATGGAAGAAGATGCGTATAAGGGTGATGTCACAGCACAACGGGAATCTAACAGGGGGAGAGGTGGAAGTCATCCTCCTCCTCCCACGACCACGCCGGCAAGGACAGGACGCTTTAAAGACGCTTTTAAATTTGAAGTAAGAGGACCGACCAAGCATCTTCTTCCATTTCCCTGTTACAGAAATCACTGCCATATACACGTCCACTGATAGGAGACGCGGAAGGTATTAAACTGATCAGAACAATACTAAACACACCACTCCTTTTTTTTGGTGAGGCTTTACAGGACAGAGTGCTTCTCCACGGGACATGTTAACTCACGGGCAGCTGGCTCATCAAGGAACCAGAGCAGCTTTCCATGTACAGGTAAGACACGTGCAGCCGGTAAGGGTTCAGGCTCTTCTTCCTGGAGGATACGCTGCAAGCCTGTTGAACGAGGTGACCTTGCTCGGGTCCCAGGTGTACGGTTCCTAAAATGGCTGCCATATACACGTCCACTGATAGGAGACGCGGAAGGCATTAAACTGATCAGAACAATACTAAAACACACCACTCCTATCTGGTGGCACATTAGCTTGACCGGGCAGAGCCCCAAATTTTAAGTAAGAGGACCGACCAAGCATCTTCTTCCATCTCCCTGTTACAGAAATCACTGCCATATCCATACAAATTGTACAGAATGTCCAGGATAGTTTTCCAGGGACAAATGTTGTCGCCTGTTGAACGAGGTGACTTTGCTTGGGTCCCAGGTGTACGGTTCCTAAAATGGCTGCCATATACACATCCACTGATAGGAGACGCGAAAGGTATTAAACTGATCAGAACAATACTAAACACACCACAAATAAGGTTTCTCTCCTGTATGGCTCCTCAAATGATGCTTAAGATTAGAAGCGGCTGAAAAGCATTTCTCACACTCAGAACAAAAATATATATTTTTAACATTCTCTCCACTTTGAACGAAATGACGTTTGGGAAGAGATTAACATAATTAAACACAGGCAGTAAAAATACAGTTTTTAGCCATACACTGTAACTTTAAAACTACACATCCCATCTTCATAACAATTACATATTTGGAATCAGCACACTTAAAACATAAACATAACCAAAAATCTGCCAAATCCATCCAGGGGTTAAAAAGTTAGCTGGAGGTCCCTTTATGACCGACCGCAAGCACATTTTCCTGCCCAAAACAGTTCCATAGATTTGGGCTGTGAGGTCAGTCTATTTCAGGCTGAAAAAAAGACTAAGTCCCATCGCCGAATGGGACTTAGTCTCTGCAGCTGTAAAACCGGTAGGGGAGAAGGTAGAGCTCAGCGGTGTTCGCGGAAATGTGTAGCCGATTTTAGTTCCATGAATTTGGCTACACATACCGCTGACCTCGTCGAATGATCAAAGATGGCCGCCGCCACGTGTTCGGCAAACGAACAAAGACCTCCCAGCATTGTCAATTAAACTGCGGTTAACCGCAGCTTCTGGGAGGTAAATTGCCTGCACACTTCCACTTCTGGGTGGTCTGCCTGACAGACTTGCACTCATGCAAAATTTGATAACCACCCTCCAGTTTCTTACCTTTTTCTGGAGGGTGGCTTCCCTGGGGTCCAGTGGGGTGGCTGGGTGGCAGGGGTTCAGTAAGCCCCATTTACTGAACCAAGTGGGAAATAGCCAGGCAGGCACAAAGGGTTTGCACCAGGTCTGGGGACACAGGGGACACCGTCTTAAAGGGGCAGTGTCCCCAACAAGTCTGGGGGCACGGCCTTAAAGGGGCAGTGTCCCAATCTTCCTGATGTCCCAAAAAAGGTGTTTAAAGGGCCAGCACCAGTCACATAAAGAGTCCATAAGCTCCAATATGCCCACTGACAGTCTTAAAGGGCCATACACACATTTTCACAATCTCCCAGGGGCCATAGTCATGCGGGAGGAGGCTGGCAAATAGGCTTCTCCACAACCCAGGGAAGCAGGGTAATTTGCCATTTAAAGGGCCAGTTACAAATAGCAGTAACTGATTGACACAAGGTGTCAATCCATATCTGCCAAGTGACCTGATGTAGGGGGAACAGTCCCTATTCTGCTCTGTGTCAGTGTGTATCATGGTCTCTGAGGACAGGTGTCAATCCATATCTGCCAAGTGACCCTATGTAGGAGGAACAGTCCCTATTCTGCTCTGTGTCAGTGTGTATCAGGGATCCCTAGTACAGGTGTCAATCCATATCTGCCAAGTGACCCTATGTAGGGGGACCAATCCCTATTCTGCTCTGTGTCCGTGTGCATCAGGGGCTCTGAGGACAGGTGTCAATCCATATGTCAAGGTGTCAATATGTCATATGTCAGGTGTCAATCCATATTCATTGTGATTTAGGAATGTTAGGTGATTTCTGCCCTTATGGATTAAAACCAGACTCTGCATCAACTGTGTAATTTTCCATGGGAGTTTTGCCATGGATCCCCCTCCGGCATGCCACAGTCCAGGTGTTAGTCCCCTTGAAACAACTTTTCCATCCCTATTGTGGCCAGAAAGAGTCCCTGTGTGTTTCAAAATTCGCCTGCCCATTGAAGTCTATGGCGGTTCGCCGGTTCGCGAACATTTGCGGAAGTTCGCGTTCCAAAAATTTCGTGTTCGCGACATCACTAATGAAGACCCTTTGAAGTTACTACAAAATATTAAAATAACCTCTGTTTTTAATATGGCACTACATCTGAAGCTTGCAGTCAGATCCATGGGCTTGACTACTGGAGTATGTACAGCCGTATGGCTCAGGTCCTGGGTTTGGAGATGCCCCTTTAAAATACTCACTTTGTGAATTACCTTTTCGAGCAAGAAAGATTGTTCGGTTCAGCTCTTGACAAGCAGACTGCTGATAGTAAAAAAGTCAAACGTAAACAGTCTTGGAATAGAAATTTGTTCTCCAACAGGAATCCTACGTTGAAGGAACCTTTTCAAAGACGATATTCCAGTTTCTCAACAAAATCCTTTGCTATTTCTTCAAATATAAATAATACGAAATCAGCATTTTTCTCCTCTGCTATAAAATGGGGATGCCAGGCTGGTTAGAGGAAGAGTAAGTCTTTTTCTAGAAATTTGGAAAAACACTACAGGGTTCTATATATTATAAAAAACAAAACAAAAAACTTATTAGGTGAGGATGAGGAAAACTTAATTTTATTTAGTCCATTCAGCTCTGATAGAATATGAACTCTGGAATACAGTATTGCCACTAAAAGAAAAGGCAGTGGTAAAGGTGCCTTCTTGAACAATGTCAAGTAAATTTACTCAAGGCTCATGTTAAAAAAATTTTTAAAAAAACAAAACACACAAACACACACACACACACACACACAAAAGAACCAACACATCGCCAGATGAAACATTTCGCAACATCTTAGATCTGAAATATGTGAACAGACTCTTAAAGAAGCAAAAGTTCAGAATGGAGTCCCTAGCATCATTTAATCAAAAAATTTGACTACATGGCATCTTTGGACTTAAAAGATGCATACCTACATATTTTCTCTTCAGAGTTCTACCCTTAGGACCTATGTAAATGTTCTTGGGGAGGAAGATAGCCAAAACACTATTAAGCCGCTCATCTCAGAAAACTGTGGATTTATATTATACCTTATCTAAATGATTAGCTTATTCTGTCAAGAACAGAAGAACAATGGCAAAAAGATTTAGATATCATAACATCTTTCATCATATACCATGGTTGGTTAAAACAATGACAAAAGACAGGCTTTGTTCTCAACAAGTCCATCTCATTAGTGGGTCTATTCATAGACTAAAAATACAGGAAAATGTGTGCTCTGTCTCAAAGAAAAGGCCATGAGCCTTCCAGAGCTCTTAACATCTTAAATTCCAGCAGGTTATTGTGCAAGAGCATATATGTAATGTCTCCAAAGTATTATTCTTCAAGTATAGAATTATTAATTTTATTAAAGGACACGGAGGCTCATATTATGCTTATCTCTTTCTTTATTATACCTCAGCAGCAAAGAGAAGGTATAAACATTCATAGAAAAAAGTTTTAACAGGTTCTCCAAGGGTTAACCCAACATCATACCCTTAACCAATAGGAACAGTCCCTCTATCTATAACTATTCATGTGACCTTTCCTCTTCCTCTTTCTTTGCTGCTGCCTCAGCTAAGTACCATCTAATTTTAGCTCTCCTCAGAGCACCCTTTTGAATTTATATTGTATTTGTTTGTTTCTGTGTCTTTAATATTTTTATGTGATAGGTTTGTGTGGGTTAATTAGCCGGTTCTTGGAGCCGGCGCCTGTCTGCCTTTAGGGCAGATAGACGTTTTCACTGGGGTTCCCTCCCCCCCCCCTGCGGCGGTTACCCCCTCCCACACCCTACCGGGTAGTTTATTACCCGTTCTTTGTTGCCCTCTGGGAGCCGCGGCGGCCGTTTCGCGGCGCGAGCGCTCTGAATCCAGAGCCCGCTCGCGCATGCGCTATAACGGCCGCTCGGCACTGCGGCCATTTACAGTAAGCCGGCCGGGTTTTGCCGCGCTTTTCTCTCCGCCCGCCCTGTACCAGAGGGCGGGCGTTCTCTGATTGGCCAGCTGCATTGGCTGGCAGCTTACCAGTGCTCCCTGGCGGCCATTCCAGGGGGAACACTTGGTAAGCTGACAGCCTTTGTTTGTGCCTGCATCCTCCACCTGCACTGTTCTCAGAGCCCACTGCCCACAGTTTGGTTTACTGTTAGCCCCTGCACAGGGTCACTAGGGGCATTTTTTCCTCTCACATATTGGTGCCAGTCTGGTACAAATTTCTTTGTGTCACTTGGTATCCCAGCCAGTTAGGTGTCACTGCTCCCACACCTTTTGCTACAACCTACCTGTCATGCAACACCTTAGGGACCTCGGGGTTGCCACCCCCACTGATAACAGTACAGACACCATTCATCACGTGCCACAGATACCACGTCCATGCTCGCCACTGCGAGAAGACGTGGCATCCATGGATCAGTTAAACTCGGAGGAGTTTCACTCACTCCTGGATGCAACCATGACCAAGTCGGTCACCCAAGCTATAGTCACGGCTATGGGGGCGATGTCTGAGACCCTGACACAATCCATTAGTAATGCCATACTGGCGTCTAACAGCCATACCAGCGGCCCCCGCCCCATGGCCCAGCCTGACAAACCTGTGCCCCCCAGCGGCCGTAAGGCTACGCAGAAGACCCACCATATGGGCAAACACACCTCCAAAAACAGCACGACGGACAGGATACGCCCTGTCACTACTGAGGACGTGGGGCCCCCACGCAAAAGAGCCACCCACCGGGCAAAAGCGGTGAGGACATGGAGATGGGCAAAAGCCCAGACAGAGACATCCGACTCTGGTTCGGACATAGAGGAGGTAATGAGTGAGTCCGAGGAACTCGGCTCGTTGGAATCAGGGAACTCTTCCCCTGAGCGCAGCCTGGCAGTCATACCAGCTAAGGGAAAAGCGCCCGCGGATGATTCCACCATCCTAGACCCCCAGGGCGAGCCCCTATTCAACCCTGACGACCTGCAGCACCCCAGGTCCACAGACTGGTTCCCAGCTGACCATGTGGCCCAATATATTGCGGCCAGAATAAGGAAGCCCCTGGATAAAACAACCAGGAATAAGTTAAGGGCAGAGTGCCCACGCCCAATGGTCCCTGATATGGCGTGCGCCACGCCGGAGGTGGACCCCAAGATTGCCCAGTTCCTGGGTAAGGCTGGCTGGAAAGCCAAAAAAGGGCTAGACTACTCCCTGCGCCACTGCCAGGATAAGGTGCTCGACTCCTTGGGCCCTAGCGCAAAGATCTTCGACTTGGTCGAAGAGACAATCTCAGGTGGCGCACCACTAGACCCCTTAGTGATCCGAGAGTGGGCACAACGCTCTATCTGCCTCATCGGCAACTCAAATGCCGCACTTAGTACTGAGAGGCGGAAGGCAATTCTCATGAAAATAGACCCCAAACTGGTCAACATGGCCATAACCGAGCCTGGACCCCAGGCAAAAGGCCTCCTTTTCGGAGATAATTTTGTAAAGGAGCTGGGCACCTACGTGAGCACATTTACAGCCCTGGATAAGGCACAAACAAACCTAAAACGGGTGTTCTCCCCGAAGGTTTTTGGAGGGGCTGGCAGGTACAGGGGCCGCCTGTCCAGCCGCCCACCACGGAGCTCCCACCGGGGCTACCGGGGCCCCACGACACCAAGAGTCCCACAGGCGGAGACCAGAACCCCCGCACCTTTCTTCCCGGTCAGGGGCAGATCATGGCAGCCCAGAGGTCACAGGGGTGCCACATACGGCCGACGACCTTATGGTAAGTGCTTTTCCTTTTCCCCTCTCTCATACCTCGCACGTAGGGGGCAGACTTTCCAAATTTATCGGGGCATGGCACAGACTCACGTCCGATGCCTGGATTCTCGACACAGTAGCGGGGTACCATATAGAATTCGTCACACACCCAATCCAATCCACAATGCCACGGCGGATGGTGTTCGCCCCTCAGGACAGGGAACTGGTGTCGAAAGAAATCATAGCTCTGGTGGAGAAGGGTGCGATCTATCAGGTCGCGCCCCACTCCCCAGGGTTCGTAAGCAATCTGTTCCTGGTCCCCAAGAAAGGCGGTGGGGTAAGACCGGTGATCAATCTTCGCCCACTCAATACATTTGTACGATACCACCACTTCAAAATGGAAGGGATTCATTGCCTGCGAGATCTTCTCAGGCTGGGGGATTGGATGGTAAAATTAGACCTCCAAGATGCATATCTCACCATCCCCATTGCAAAGGAGTGTCAGCATCTCCTACAATTCAGTTGGGACTCCCAGACCTGGAGGTTTCAGTGCCTTCCGTTTGGCCTATCGTCAGCACCATGGTGCTTTACAAAACTGCTGAAGCCAGTGGTTGCGCTTCTGCGCAGCAGGGGCGTCCGCATGATCATATATCTGGACGATATGCTGATCATGGCCCAAGACACCCTACTGCTACTACAACATTTAGATTGGACAGTAACTTTACTACAGAACCTGGGATTCCTAATCAATTGGGAGAAGTCGGTACTAACCCCCTCCCAGTCCTTAGAATTCCTAGGGTTCGAAATAGGGTCGGTCTTAGGGACCCTAAGCCTGCCACCCACAAAGATGAAAATCATCAAGAAGGAGATCCGCAGAACATTGGCTCAACCAACACTTACGGTCAGACAACTAGCCAGGATAATTGGACTCCTTTCCGCTTCCATACAAGCGATCTTCCCAGGGCCTTTACACTACAGGGCCCTACAGCGACTAAAAGCCGCACAACTGCGCTCAGGACACTCCTACTCAGACTCTGTGCCACTCGATCACACAGCCAAGGAGGAGCTCAGGTGGTGGCTGCAGCACATGGAAGCGTGGAACGGCAGAGCAATCTTCGGCAACAACCCATATTGCGTAATAGAATCAGATGCCAGCACACGGGGCTGGGGAGCGCGCTGTGGACATACCTCCACGGGCGGAAAATGGTCCCAAGCAGAAAGGACACTACATATCAACTGCCTGGATGACCAGTTGTCACCGCAGTTTACGCGGACAAGTTCTTACAAGTTCGGGATATGGGAAAGTTCGACACAACGGATGAAGTGTTCCAGTGTCTTCTCAAGTTATAATGATACAGCTTCGGCATGACCAAAGAAAGAGGAAGAGGAAAGGTCACATGAATAGTTATAGATAGAGGGACTGTTCCTATTGGTTAAGGGTATGATGTTGGGTTAACCCTTGGAGAACCTGTTAAAACTTTTTTCTATGAATGTTTATACCTTCTCTTTGCTGCTGAGGTATAATAAAGAAAGAGATAAGCATAATATTCGCCTCCGTGTCCTTTATAAAATCATGACTTTACGTCATGTAATTAGTAAAATCTGGAAATTTCTAGCTTTAGTCCAATGACAATTTGGCAGTCTATCAAAATAGATCTGAGTGATGGAAAATATCCCCCTGTCTGTCATTTTCACTACAGATGCTTCAATTACTGGATGGGGTGCCACCCCTTTCACACCACAAGAGGGTTTTGGAACAAAAACGATCGTATTCAAATGTAATATCTATTTTGTAATACTTCTTTAATTGGAACTCAACTGCAGAATTTCCTGATTGCAGCAACAATAAGTTTCACCTCCTTTTATATTGATATGAAACAATGGTCACTGTACCTTTAAATACACATGAAGGAAAAATTAGGCTTTGTAGCAATCCATTATGAATAAGAGGAATAATTAGACAAAGTGACACTTTAGTGAGCTTTAGATACTGTGTAACATAAATAATAGAAATTGGCTTGTTTGGTAAAAGTATTACTTAACTAAAAGGCAGTTCTGGCACTGGAAGGGTTACTTCACCCAATGAAGGAGAAATTAGTCCGAAGTCGTTTCAACAAGCCGAGGTCTAGGAGTGGAGAAGGTAGAAATCCGTTTACAAGCCGAGGTCGAGAAGTGGAGAAGGTAGAAATCCGTTTTACTAGCCGAGGTCTAGAAGTGGAGCAGGTAGGATCAAAAGTAGAGCAGCTGATCTTTCTGCAGCACCTGTGCGAATAATCCAGCCCTTTGAATCTGGCGCGGTCTTCCTAAGTATCGTGGAGGGACCGCGTCAGAAAAAAGGGCGGGGCTGAGCGCCGTGAACCCGGAAGTGGGTTCCGGCGACGAAATACATGCCATGCTATACCTGACAGTACCCCCTTCTCATGGGGCATCCTCTGGGTGCACTATTTCGGTTTGGAGGGGTAGCGTTTGTGAAAGGCAGTAACTAACCTCCTAGCATGTACATCAGATGAATCTTCCCAAGTGTTTTCATCAACTCCATAACCTTTCCATCTAACAAGGTATTGTAAGGAGCCACGGTGGACACGAGAATCCAAAATTTTGTGAATTTCATATTCTTCTTCACCTTGGACAATGATAGGTTCAGGAGTTGTTACTATTTCTCTATAAAAAGGATCAGGGATGTGTGGTTTAAGCAAGGAGACATGGAATACTGGATGAAGTTTAAAACTTGGAGGAAGTTTTAGTTTAACAACGTTATCATTAATGATAGTAATTACTTGAAAGGGACCAAGAAAAAGAGAGCTCAATTTCTTTGAAGGACGGCTTGTGGTAATATTCCTTGAAGAGAGCCAGACAAGATCCCCTACCTTGTAAGGAGGGGGAATTCTTCTATTATTGTCAAAAAACTTTTTCTGGTTATTTTGGGCGAGTTGAAGATTCTCCCGTAATTTGAGAAATAGAGAAGACATAAATTTGTTTTTTGATGTAACAGTAGGATTGGATGAAGTAATGGTTTGGATGGGGAATGAAGACGGATGGAACCATAGTTGGAGAAGAAAGGAGTCATTTTCGTACTAGAATGAATGGTATTATTGTAAGAAAATTCGGCCATAGGTAACCATGTGGTCCAGTCATCTTGGAGGTATGAACAATAACATCGAAGATATTGTTCCAAACATTGATTAACCCTTTCTGTTTGCCCATTAGTTTGGGGATGATAAGCGGAAGAGAGTTTGCGTTGAATTTGAAGGGAGAGACACATCTCTTTCCAGAATTTGGAGGTAAATTGTGTCCCCCTATCAGAAATAATTTCTTCAGGAAGACCATGAAGTTTCACAATATTGTCAATAAAGACCTTAGACAATTCTACAGAGGAGGGTAATTTTTTTAAGGAAATGAAATGGGACATTTTTGTGAAGCGATCCACAACGACAAGAATAGTGGTGAAATGTTGAGAAGGTGGAAGATCAACGATAAAATCCATAGAAATGGATTGCCAAGGGTTTTCTGGAATAGGTAAGTTAAGTAGTAATCCAAAAGGTTGATTATGTTCTGGTTTAGACCTTTGACAGATAGGACATGTTTTGACATATAATTCAATGGTTCTATCCTGGCGAGGCCACCAATAATATCGTGAAGTTAGTTCAAGTGTTTTCTTTATTCCAGGATGTCCAGCTAAGGGTGAATCATGAACCATCTTAAGTAATTTATTCCTAAGAATGGGAGGAATATAAATTCTATTTTTAAAATAAAATATACCATCCTTTTTTGTTAGTATAGGTGTTTTGGGAAGTTCAAGATCCTTCTGATTCAAATTCTTTATGTCATCATGAAGAGAAGAGAGGATCCCTATTATTTTGTTAGGAGGATAATCATCAGTAGTAGTTTTAGAAGGAATTCGAGAAAGAGCGTCAGCCTTTTTATTTCTAGTTCCAGGTCTGTATATTAATTGGAAGTTAAATCGGTTAAAAAATAGGTTCCATCTAACTTGTCTAGCTGTAAGGGTTTTGTTGGTATAGAGATATTCAAGATTTTTATGGTCAGTATAAACTATTATAGGTTGTTTTGTATCTTCCAGAAGATGACGCCAATTTTCGAAGGCAGCTTTAACACTTAATAATTCTTTTTCACCAATAGGATAATTTTTTTCAGCAGAGCTCAAGGATCTTGAAAAAAAGGCAACTGGATGAAGTGGATCTTGTGGAGTCTTTTGTTGAGAAAGAACTGCTCCGATGGCTGCTTCTGATGCATCAACTTCAAGAACATATAAGAATGTTGGATTAGGTAGTTGTAAAATAGGTGCAGTTGTAAATCTTTTTTTTAATTCGTCGAAGGCTGTTTGTGCATCTTTATTCCAATTGAAAGGACGTTTACTACTGTTGAGGAGGTTAAGAGGATGTGATACATCCGAATAGTTTCTAATAAATTTTCTATAGAAGTTTGCAAATCCAAGAAAACGTTGTAATTCTTTTGTAGTAGTAGGAGCGGGCCAGTTAATAATACATTTGATTTTGGAATTATCCATCTTCAAAGAATGAGGTGAAATAATGTATCCTAGAAAAGAGAATTCAGTAACCTCAAAGAGGCATTTTTCTGGTTTAGCGTATAATTTATGAGTTCTCAGTCTAGATAGAACCCATCTAACATGCTTCCTATGTTCATCCAAATTGTTAGAATATATTAAGATATCATCTAAGTAGATAATAACACATATATCCAGAAGATCTCTAAAGATATCATTTATAAAATGTTGAAATGTTGCAGGGGCATTACAGAGCCCAAAAGGCATCACTAGATATTCGTAGAGACCATATCTTGTCCGGAAGGCGGTTTTCCATTCATCATCCTGTTTTATTCTAATGAGGTTATATGCGCCTCGAAGGTCGAGTTTAGTGAATATAGTTGCAGTTCTTAACCTTTCAATTAATTCATTTATTAGTGGAAGAGGATACGATTTTTAATAGTTATTTTATTTAAGGCTCTGTAATCTATAATAGGACGGATGGTTTGGTCTTTATTCTTCACAAAGAAAATACTAGAAGCAGCTGGGGAGGTCGAGGGTCTGATGAACCCTTTGCGTAAATTTTCATTAAGATATTCTTTTAAAATTTCTAACTCCTTTTCAGAGAGTGGATAAATATGACCATAAGGAATAGGAGCTCCGGGTATGAGATCTATTGGGCAATCATATACCCGATGAGGAGGAAGTGTTTCCGCTTCTTTTTTACAAAAGACATCTGCAAAATCGGAGTAGAATGGAGGTATAACTGGTTCTTTAGTAGTTTGGAGAATAGGAATGTTTTGTAAGCACGTTTTTTTACAGAAATCAGAAGCAAAGGAGATGGAGAAGGGAGACCACTTAATTAAAGGATCATGGGTTTTTAACCAATTAATTCCTAGAATGACGGGATAAAGTGGAGATTTAATAATATCAAATGTAATGAATTCGAAATGTACATTGTTGGTAATCATTCTTAGAGGGATTGTCTCATCTTTGATGGGTCCTGAGGATATAAATGAACCGTCAATAACTCTGATTGGAATAAAGTTAGTTTTTTGAACACAAGGAATTTTATTTTTTGAAACAAAAGAAAAATCAAGAAAAGTTCCATTAGCACCAGAATCAATGATGGCCTCAGTCACGATTCTTTTTGTATCCCACTGTAATATGAGAGATATAGAAAAATAAGTAGATGCTTTTCTTTTTTGAAAAACGTTCAATATAGAGGTAGATGAATGAAGCTTACCACCTTTTGAATGTTTCAGTAGAGGACATTCGGAAATTAGATGTTCATTCGAAGCACAATACATACATAAGTTTAGTTGTCTCCTTCTTATTCTTTCTTCAGAAGTAAGAGGACTTTTTATTATACCTACTTCCATAGGTTCAGTTTGTGGAGGAATTTTTTCAGGTAGTTTTAGAGTAGTGAAAGGTTTTCTCCAGGTAGAATTAGTAAGAACCCTTTCAGCTTTTCTTTCTCTTAGACGTCTATCAATACTGATGGACAGTTGAATCAATGCATTTAAGGTAGGAGGAAGTTCTGTACGAGAGAGTTCATCTTTCACAGCTTCAGATAATCCGAGACGGAATTGATTGCGTAAAGTAATGTCATTCCATTGGGTTTCTGTAGCCCATCTTTTGAATTCTGCAATATAATCTTCAACAGGTCTATTCTTTTGGTGTAATGTTCTGATGGTTAAATCAGCAGTAGTTTGTTTAAAAGGATCTTCATATAATAAAGACATAGCTTCAAAGAACTCATCCAATGAATCTAATATGGGATCATCATTTTCCAAAAAGGAATGGGCCCAGGCCATAGGTTCACCTCTTAAAAAAGAGATCACTGAACAGACTTTGGATCTTTCGGTGGGATAAGATCTAGGTTTTAAAGCTATTAGTAGTTTGCAAGAATTCAGAAACTCTCTGTACTTTGTTCTATCTCCATAAAATTTTTCTGGATTACAGACAGCAGGATCACCAGCCGATTGAAGAGCGGCATGAGGAAGATGACCTTGAATGTCTCTAACATAGGTTAATATTCTCTCATTTGTAATTTGCAGTTCCTGTAACCCTTGAGCAATCGTATCCACTCTATTGGTTAGGGCAGAAACTTGAAAGTTGATATCTGCTGGTTCCATTGAATATGGCTGGATTATTCTGTAATATCTATTTTGTAATACTTCTTTAATTGGAACTCAACTGCAGAATTTCCTGATTGCAGCAACAATAAGTTTCACCTCCTTTTATATTGATATGAAACAATGGTCACTGTACCTTTAAATACACATGAAGGAAAATTAGGCTTTGTAGCAATCCATTATGAATAAGAGGAATAATTAGACAAAGTGACACTTTAGTGAGCTTTAGATACTGTGTAACATAAATAATAGAAATTGGCTTGTTTGGTAAAAGTATTACTTAACTAAAAGGCAGTTCTGGCACTGGAAGGGTTACTTCACCCAATGAAGGAGAAATTAGAAGTCCGTTTCAACAAGCCGAGGTCTGGGAGTGGAGAAGGTAGAATTCAGTGTTACAAGCCGAGGTCTAGGAGTGGAGAAGGTAGAAATCCGTTTACAAGCCGAGGTCGAGAAGTGGAGAAGGTAGAAATCCGTTTTACTAGCCGAGGTCTAGAAATGGAGCAGGTAGGATCAAAAGTAGAGCAGCTGATCTTTCTGCAGCACCTGTGCGAATAATCCAGCCCTTTGAATCTGGCGCGGTCTTCCTAAGTATCGTGGAGGGACCGCGTCAGAAAAAAGGGGCGGGGCTGAGCGCCGTGAACCCGGAAGTGGGTTCCGGCGACGAAATACATGCCATGCTATACCTGACATCAAACTTTAGAGATTTAAAGGTTGTTCTAAAAGCTATCCAATTTTTAAACCCTACGCAAGATGTTTGGGTTCAGGTAGAATAAGACAACAGGACAAGAATATCCTACATAAATCGTCAAGAAGGCATAAGATCTATTTGTCTAGTTCTAATCTCAGGAAAGATAATGAAAATGGTCAGAATGTCATCTTTTGGGGATTCATGCAGTCCACATAAGGGGCACAGATAATACATTTGCCAATCATCTGAGCAAAACAGGAATAACCTCATCAAATTAGTCTCTTTCAAAAACTCCCAGAAAGATTTCGATATCAAGAAATAGACCTTATGGCTTCCTGAAAAATTACACAGCTGTTTTTTTTCCTCAAATCTATATGATCAACAAAATTTTGAAGAAAATAAGAAGAGAGCAAGCCTCAATAAGCAGTTTTCCATTTTGGTCAAGGTGCTCTTGATTCACAGACCTGGATTTATAAAAAGGGTGATATTGGATATTCCCTCAATCAGAGGAGATGATAGAACAGGAAATTCATCCACAAATTCAACCCAGCAGCTTTGCTACTTAGAGGTATCCCTTATTTTCAGCAGGTCTAAACCAACACATTCTTGATATTCTTCTACATTCAATAAAAATATCTACAGGCAGAATCTAAAGATTTGGAAGAAATAGGTCTCTTGGCACCTTTATCATCATCATCAAAATCTTCTACAAGCATCTATTAAATTCACTATTCATTTTATTCACATGGGTTTTGCCAAGGCTCTCCTTTAATCTTTTTACTTGTCATTTTCCAACTGATGAATCTGGTTTTTAAATCCATTAGTGGTACACTTTATCAGAGATTATTTCTATTCCTCCCTGGGAGTTGTCATCTGAATTATTTTGGAAAATTAAATTTCCACTGGCCATTACCCCTGCTAAGAGGGTAGGAGAACTTCAGGCGTTAGGAGATCACTCTCCATACTTGATTCTCCACCAAGATAAACTAGGGCTGACACTCCTTCCTTACTCCAGGCCAAAGGTTCTTGATTCATCTAATCTGAATCAGGAAATAGTTTTCTCTACTTTCTGTAGTAATCTCTCTTCTCTCATATATAAAACAAATTAATATACTGGATGTGAAAAGAGCCCTTTTATTTCTTTTACAGTGTACAGAGCCTTTCAGGAATATGTATCATCTGTGCAACTTGTTTAAAGGAAAGTCAAAAGGCAAGTCAACTTCTAAAGTATCTATCACTAGATGAGGAAACAGTTCTGTTGGCTTACTTGTTAGCAGATAAACCTCCTTGAGTCAAGTACAATGCACATACTAACAAAACCTATTTCCCCATTAGCTGCTTCAGTCTTGGTGAAACAAATACGCAAGCAGCCACTTGGTTGTATCTCCATACGTTTTGCGAGCACTTATTTGATGCCCATCATTTTAGTTCAACTTGAGATGTCCCTTATTGCTACTCTCTGTATAGAAAAAATAAAGTTTTTACTACCTTACAAAATTGCTTTTCCATAGGATAGCAGCAGTACAACTTTTTTTTTTTTCTTCTATTAAATGTTTTAGAGTCTTGTCATTTCTGATGTATTTTGGCAATGGAGAGGTTTTATAACAGGGGAGAATGAATTAAGGGTATACTTTACTTAAATATGGTAAATATTTTAATTTTAGAGCCTGTCTGGGGAATAATTGCAAAGACCTTCTGTCTTACTATAAATCTGGTTTTATGCTTGCCTTGAGAAACAAAAATAAGAAATTACAGAAACAAAATTTTTTTTTTTATAATATACATATATATATATATATATATATATATATATATATATATATATATATATATATACACACACATATACATATACACACACACACACACACACACACACACACACACACTCACAGTGCCTAAAGGGATATTGGCTATACCTCACTCATGATACCTTACAAGGTTGAAATGATCATCTGGGGTGGCTGTATCTCTTGTGCAGATGGAACTGACATTTCGGATCTGGACTGCCCATACGTTTGGGACCAGTCTGATATTCTTCAGATATGTTCTCTCTGTAATAGCACAAGATGAGCTAAAAACAGCTTGAGATCTGAGCGGGGACCCACCAAAGGGCAGGCTAATGGAGCTGTTGTCCGTTCTCTCCTCTCTTGCTACATGTTTTTCTCTCCTTAAGTTTAAAGATCAATCCAGACATGGATCTTTGCACGAGAGATACAGCAACCCCAAACGATCGTTTCAACCTTATAAAAAGGTATCATCAATGAAGTATAGTCAATATCCCTCTAGGCACTGTGAGTATAATATATATATTCTTTAAATTTCCTATTTTTGTTTCTCAAGGCAAGAGAAACTATTTTTCAAGCATCCAGCTCGATGTAGCTTAACACCTCAATTTACAGTTAAAGTATGGTACTGTGTTTTTCATCCTGACTTCTTAATTATACTTTTAGCTTACTATACTACACAGTAAATTTAAAGGATACTCCGGGCAATGAAGTTGTTTTGGTGTCTGCACCACGTAATCTTACCTTTAGTTGTTAAACTGTTCTTAAATGGTTTAAACATTTAAGATGGCACCAATTTGCATGTTATCCTCTGTGGCACATTAGCAAGGTGACAGCAGGGATTGTCTGAAAGCGTCTGACACTCTCACGCTATCATTGGCCAACACACACACTGTAACATCGATGGTGACCAAGAACTGCTGTCTCCTTGCTACCTGTACAAATGAGAACAGTTTAATACTTCAAGGTAAAACAGTGCCATTAAGATGAAGTTATGGTCCCTGGAGGATTCCTTTTTTTATATAGTGGATATAAAACTGTACATGCAAAACTGCAAAATCCTGAGATTTGAAACAAATGCAGAGACATTTACATGTTTTAATACATTCTATAAAGCATTAAAAAAAAAATTGATACACAAGCTGAGAGTGTTCCTTTTAATGAAGGTGCAAGTGGTCTCTACATGATGTATAATATGAAGGGGTGACTTATTAAATCAATCCTCCAAGCACCATAACCACAAAAGCACGCTGTAGTGCTTATGGTGCCTCTGTTTTGGAATGGTTTGATTCATTACCCAGGGTTCGCTTCTTGCCTCAACTACTTCATACAGAGAGCCAAAAACTCTTGAGTGAAGCAAGCCCAGATTGGGGTTGTCACATTGGGCGAGAGCAATCAGCTGATACTCTGAGCCAATGAGCTAGCCCTGCACTTTAATTTCAGGGTTAAGCACAAGAAAGTTAATCAAAGCAACTAACTAGCAGCAATCAACGATTCTCTGTACCACAAGAGAAGAATAAATGGATTACTTACATGGAGAGTGTGGAGTCAGGTCACTCCAGGCACCAAAACAGTGATTATGGTGCTTTTAGTTTTACTTATCAAAACTTTTAATAAGGGAATTACATATTTTAACCCAAAAAAGCAAACTGAAACCATTCTCCAACCTAAGTATCTCTCTCTCCCCCACCACCAACTTGGCCTGAAATTTGCAAGTCTTTTGAATACAGCAAAGCCTGGTGCATTTGTCTCTGTCTGTCAAAGTCTTGCAATAAGCTTTACTGCATTTAACAATGGAGTTTGCTGGCCATGTTACATCATAGACACAACACAGATGTATTGGTGTTTAAAAACACACACAAAAAACAAAATGATATAATCACAATTTATACAATCTGTTAAAACATAATTAACAAGAATCCACAATGTTTTTTTCCCACCATTGCCCCTCCAATATCAAAATCCCCCCACTAATAATCTAGTCTCAAATCTTAAAACAATCTTTTGGTTTTACTTAAGTTTCCCATATCATTGGTAAATAAATGAGTTATTTACAAAAATTAGTGCAAAAGGCTACATTCACGGGTTAAACCTTACAGGACTCGGGGCTGGACAGAGGTTTTTCTGCTCCGAATGTCAATAAAATCCTGGAAATATGCAAGAGCCCTTCCCCAATATTAGTCTATACAGTAGCTTCATTAAGATATGTTACTTACAATTTAAAATATAATATTTAGTTAAAGACCATTACTAAGCTATTAACGCACACTCAAAAAAAAAAAAATTCACTTAAAACACAATTCACCTAACAATTACCTATTATTTCATATTTATTGGATGGTGAATTTACTTAAGTTAGGACACAAGTTGAGATGCACCAAAGGTCCTTTTTTTTTACCTTAAAAGCTCCCTGGCCTCAATAACATATCAGTCCTAATTACTACATAAACCCAATAGTTGTCAAACTTCCTTCTTCAAAACTCATCTCCACAATGAAGTACTCCAATGAGAATGCACCAGTTAGTGTTTTTATGGATTATATAATCTGTATTATAAAATAAATATTTATCTTTATATGCCCTAGTTTTAATCTGGATCTTTCATAGCTAATCTCCAACGCTTAATTAGCATGTTTGTCACATGTGCAGCCACCACCATTTTTATTTATTTAGGAAAACTGAATAAACAATGTAAAGCACAAGTAAATGGAAGCTGCTGATGGCTTCAAAATATTCCAATTACTTGCGTGAATAATTTATCTATGAGATTTACTGCAGAATTGTGCTTATGGGAGAATCCTCTCAGTTATCTAACGTGAAATCAGAGAGTTATGGGAAACTTGCAGACAGGGTGAGGGTGATCATGTGAAATGAACAACCAAAAAAGAAGGAAACGCTGCTTTTTGCATGTTATGTAAAAGACTATAGTTGTCACTATCTGCATGCGGCCTTTTCAGATGCATTCACATACACCGTTAACTTTGTAATAATCCAGAGTTAGTATGGTGCTCAGAGAGAACCCTATAACTGCACATAATGGTGCACAGTGCTGTGTACACTAATAGAAGCAGTAGTATAGAATTTACAAATTTAGTGAGCTGTTCCACTATGAGATAGGAGGAATTGCTGTTGGGGGATAATCTACTTACCCCATAAACTCCAGCTGCCCAGAATCTTATGGGATAAGATCAGACCCCATAGACCAGATAGTGTTTGGTAGAGTTTCTACTTGGTGAAGCAGTGGTCTTTCTGAATATGGATTACCTATGATGTGTGGGTTCAAACCCTTTAAAGATAATGCATTAGAAAAATGAATGAATGCTTATCTATATAATACATTTAAAAAAAGAAAAAACAAACAAACAAAAACTAGGATTTACTCTTTACCCCACACATTCTTGTAAATTAATTGCATCATTTCTCAACCAAATACATCCTCACAAAACTCCATGATCTTGGGTTTGTGGATGTTACAATAGTGTGACACTTCACTCTGTTAATATTTGGGAGCATCCCCTTAACCCCTTAAGGACACATGACATGTGTGACATGTCATGATTCCCTTTTATTCCAGAAGTTTGGTCCTTAAGGGGTTAAACATGGTGCAGCTCTGTAATGATACAAACATGATGTCTTCGCTGCTAGTGCATCAGTATCAGTAAGCAGGGACATCTGGTACTCCACTCAAAATATTTCAAGCAAGGGCAAGACAGTTGCCAGAGGAAAATAAACTACAGCACATGCGTTGTATTTTCTGCTTCAATCCACGATACTCAGGATGCTATGCTGTTAAATGAGTAACAGATAGATTTTATATACTCATTTTTTTTTTCTTTAGCCGTGTGCATACTGTGAAACGTACATTTAAAGTGGTTTAAAAACCACACACTTGTTCCATTAAGTTGTAGTGCAAAAATGTCCTCTTCCCCTCTACAGTGCCTGTACTACTTGTAACTGCAGTGATTTTGCAAAATAAATAAAATCAATACAGCAGAATCCTACCTCCTCACTCACAGTAGTGAGCTATTTATGGATGCATGTCCACTTCATTTAAAGGGTCACTCCAGACCCCTAAACAACTTATGCTTGCTGAAAAGCTTTATGTGTGAATAGTGTGTCCTCTTTTTTTCATTTTGCAAAAAGTTCAGCTTTCAATAGAAATTGACACTTTTATAAATTATATTGGTTACACCCCCTTGGCTTTCATGCAAACAACAGGTAATGTTACTTCCTGGTTTAGTTAGCTTATTTGCACTAAACCTAAGAGGCAGCAATTGCCCAGATCACCTGTCTTGCAAAGACTTCTCAGTGAGCTGTATTGGGTAGTCTGTGATTGGACAGCCACGGAAAGTCTGGGAGGGATTAGAAGGGGAAGCTTGCAAAGGTAGCTGACAAGAGAACTGCAGGTTTTGCAAGCTGATTTTAGATATATCCCCAATGAAAAAATACAGAATAAAATGCATTCACATTTTCATTTGGGGTACATCCTTTAAACAGCATTTTATTTATTTTGTATTTGAGCAGTGAAGTGTCCCTTTAACCAACTCTTAGACAGAGTTCTCTAAAGGTGCGGTTGTCATGACATGTTCATGGCATGAAAAAAATCATAAAAAGAAGCAGCTTTTATTCATATTGCTTGGATAATGCAATAGTACTTATATCATAATCCCCTGCTGGGTTTACAATAGGAGTGCCAGGCTTGGATAAAATCATTTCAGCGGATTCCTGGTTTGGGAAGAGCTCATTGCAGCCGTATCATTGGATAACGGCAGAAAAAGTGAGTAGCCTTTTTTTTCTGCATAATTAAAAAAAAAAAAAAACAGAAACGGAGTTCAACTGCAGCCCAGTGTGTCCCCTAAAAGAACACTGTAAACACATTAAGCAGTTCAGCTTGCTGAAGTATAGGTGTGCATCCCCGCAGCCCCCAAAAAGTGCTGTGGCTATCAGACAGCTGGGTTTTCTTCCTCCACCTTACTGTGCACAGTAA